TTTTATGAAAAAAAAAAGATTTCGGGCTGAACCCCCCCCCCCCAAAATTAAATCCTGGATCCGCTAGTGCTTGGTACAGATCCCTTTTTATAGAATTGTTAACATCTGCCTGAAACTTCGTAAATATTTTCATCTCATCGTAACCTACGAATATTTTATTTGCGAAAAATAAGAATTGAGGCGTTTTCAATCCAGAGGTTGGCAAACTTTATCTATTTAATAAGGTACCAAATACCAATTCGTTTTCCTCTTGGATCGTAAGATAATTTGATCACAAAATCGATAAAAATGGTGGCCTACAAAAATATTGGGCGGCTTGGCCTATATAACCTCTTTATTTTGACAATTTGGGAGTGTAGATCACGCCAAACGGTGCAATGTTTTTGAAGTCCATCTTTTTTCTCGATTTTGAGCACAAATTATCTTACAATTCAAGCAGAAAGTAAATGAGTATTTACGAGTTTTTAGCACGTAATTAAATAGATAAAGTTTGCCGATCTCCAAATTGAAAACGCCACAATTCCGAGAATTTCCGTAAATAAAATAGTTGTAGGTTACGATGAGATGAAGCTATTTACGAAGTTTCAGGCCGATGTTAATAATTTGATAAAAAGGGGTCTGCACCACGGATTATAAAATTTAGAGTATTATCAATAGAAATTAATTTATTCCAACTATTTTTATATTATTATCTGTTCATGTCTGTACACAGGCGGATCTACGGGGGGCGGGAGCTTTTGGGCTGAAGCCCCCTCTCTCCCCTCTCCCCAAAATGTTAAAATATAACCATGTTTTACAGAAAACATATTAAAAACTATCTCTTAAAGTATTCTTGTTCGTTTAATTACATTTAATAGGACTTAAAGAATCACTTAAACACGATTTCATATAGATTGTTAATTTCTTTCTTTTTTTTTTCAAATTAATTATCGTTATATGTATATGAAAAAAAAAAAATTTCGGGCTGAAGTCCCCCCAAAATTAAATCTTGGATCCGCTAGTGTGTAAATAGTCGTATTTTTTTAAATCGTCTTTATCCCTTTAAATGGACCTTTAATTTTTTTAAAATGGATTATTAATTTTTATGTTCTTTGTTAGATTAACTAACATTTTATTTTTTTCATAGTTATTATTAATATTGTATAATACTAACAAAAATTGTTTTCGTTAAAATATTGTTTTAATTTTCCGAAATATTGAAGATTCGTTATTTAAACGATTCTTATCTGCTCTTGGTATCAGTGAATGTATTAAGATTAGGTGTTCCAAGATGATAAAGCTATTTGATATTTTCTGTTGGATTTAGTCGTTTAAAATTCTCCATAACCAGATTTTTGGGTTACTCCGAAGGCTGTGGTGGCAGCCCTGTTGTGAAGGTGACCCATCACCAGATATTGAAAACTTGTTTTTATTTCCTTGTTTACCGAGTTTTATTTTATTTAATCTTTTATTTTTTCTCATTTTATTTTGTTCCAGTAAACAGACCGATATCTGCGAGCTTCTTATGCAAATGCTGTGGATAATCAGGTTCTGCCCCACCTTTGCTCCAATCGTCGCTATAAACGGGAGACACACCTCCAAAAGGAGCAAAGCTATTGGAAGCTGACATTGCAACAATGGAGGGAGACTTCTCGCCCAAGGTAGTCACTCAATTCATTTTTTTTCTGTTTTCAATATCATACAACATCTAAATAACAAAAAAAAAAGAATAAAAAAATCTATGTTATGTAACATGTAATACTTAAAATTTCATGAATACTAAAAAAATCTGTTTTATTTAATTTAATATAAATAGATTTAAAGACTCCACCAATATAACCAGTCCGTGGTATCACTAGCGGATCCAGGATTTAATTTTTTTTTTGGGGGGACTCCAGCCAAAAATTTTTTTTCACATACAAATAACGATAATTAATTAAAAAAAAAAGGAAATTAACTTCCTATATGAAATGGTGTTCAAGTGGTTCTTGAAGTCCTATTAAATCTAATTACAGGAACAAGAATAAATTAAGAGATAGTTTTTAATATTTTTTTCTGTAAAACATTTTACCATTTTTTTGGGGGGGTACTTCAACCCGAAAGCTTCCTCCCCCCTCCACTGTAGATCTGCCTGTGTGTGGTACAGACCCGTTTTTATCAAATTATTAACATCCTTCTGAAACTTCCCAAATAGATTCATCTCCCTGGGAAATCAAGAAGAAATTGTTACCAAAGTTATCAAGTGCCTAGATAATGAAAGACTTAAACAACATATATGACAAGTTTATAAATTATGATCCTTTGCAGATTTATTTTTATTTTTTATTTATTTATTTTATTTATTTGTTTACTTTATCTCATTTTATTTTAAAAGTTCATTTGGTTATTAATTTCAACTCATTTATTGATTTTATTTCTATTTTTTTAAAGTTTATTTATTTATCTATTCTATTTTATTATCTATAAGTGTCTATTGTTATTTTTATATATTTATTTCATTCTATCAATCCTTTTATTTAATTGTGTTATTTATTTAGTTATTAGTTGTTTATTTATTCATTTATTTAGTTAGTTATTTAATTATGTTATTTTTATTTATCTATTTCATTCTATCAATCCTTTTATTTAATTATTTTTATCCTTATTTTATTCTTATTTTTTGGACCAATCACCCAAATAGTATAAAAGTAGTGTTATTATAGTTGATCGGGCGCCGATGACCTAGATGTTTTGCGCCCAGACATCGAAACAAACAAACAACAAGCTTCATCTTATTGTAACATACAAATATTTTATTTATGTAGTAAATTCTTGAAATTAGGGTGTTTTCAATCTGGAGGTCAGCAAACTTTGCCTATGTAATTAAGTACTAAAAACTCGTAAATACCCATTTGATTTCCCTTTAGATAGTAAGATGACTTGAGCACAAAATCGAGTAAATTTTTGAAGGCCATGTTTTTTTTCTCGATTTTTCTATTATATTATCGTAATGATTCGAATGGAAACAAATAGGTATTTATGAGTTTTTAGTACCTAATTAAATAGACAAAGTTTGCCGACCTCCAGATTGGTCTGTACCAGGGACTAAATGGGTTTGTAATTTATTAAATATAATTTAATAAAAAAAAGTTTAATTTTGTGGATATGGTTGGACCTCTGTATGTATATACGCTGTCCCGTAAGTATAGGGAAATTTTTATCGGAGTGATAGCAGCCTATAGAAAAGTTTATATAAACAATGGGCCAATTCTCAACAGAAAAATAGAAAATCCAAGTTTAGTATTTTTTAAGAAAAAAAACAATAACATAATAAATGTTTAATTTAAGTAATTAACAATTGTTTCACTGTAAACTAAATAAAATTTTCTCATTGTTAAAATCATTTAAACAGGGCTTTTGAGTGACTAAACTTGGCTAAGTTTGGTTTTTAAAAAAATCATAATTTATTGGCAATTTTTTTTATCATTATCCAACTATACTATAGATACTCCACTTTTAGAAAAATTTCTTCGTTTAATAAACTTGAAGTTCATATTAATTTAATTCAGGTTTATTAGGAAAGTTCTTGAGATTCGCCTCAGGTTGTGTAAAGAAATTATTTCAACTTCTATACAGTCGCCTAACAGTGCTCGTATTTTCAGCAAAAATGACTTCAATTAATTGTTGCAAAGCTTATACTTCTTGTTTTTTGATGATCTGAGATTTATTTTAATATATATATATATATATATATATATATATATATATATATATATATATATATATATATATATTTTAGGAGTTTCCACTAGTAGTGGGTTTCCTTAACCTAAACCTTGGATGGCTTCTTTCCATAATATTCTATCTAAGGTCCATTCATCCTGTGGACCATTACCCATCATGAATTCCTCCACTTCATTATCCTAGGTCTTCCTTGGTCTTCCTCATCTTCTTCTTTCCCTAGTTTTCCATAAGTGGACTTCTTTGGATAGTCTTCCTTCAGGCATTCTTTTCAAATGTCCATACCACTTCGGTCGTTTTATCTCAATCTCTTCCAGAATAGTTCTTTTAGTCTCCATCTATTAATAAACATAATTGCCTAAATACATGTTTTATTTATAAATAAAAAAGTAACAATAATAATGATTTTTAAATATTTTTCATATGGAGTATTTACAAAACTGTGTTCTCCCAGATTTCTGTCATAGTAATTGATTTATATTTACAAATGACAAATTTTATGTTACTAGTCCTAAAATTAATTTTTAAAACAAAAAAAAACTGCTAATTGCTTCAATTATTTTCATAAAAACGTAAATCTTAGCACTAGAAACATGAAATTTGTCACTTATAAATATGGATCAATTCCTTTGACAGAGATTTGGGAGAAAAATACAGTTTTATAATCACTTTACATGAAAACTATTATTATTATTTTTTTATTTATAAATAAAAAGTGCATTTAGGAAATTATTTTTTTATAATATATTCCAGATCATGGAAAAATAAGAGATAAAAGATTTGCAACAGTTAATTGTAATAAATTTTGTTGAAAATACAGGCACTTTTAGGTGACAAGATGAAAAATCACAACATTTCTTTCCACAAATTGAAGTGAATCTCAAGAATTTGCCTAATAAACCTCAATTTAATTAATATGGATGCCAAGCTTATTAAACGAAGAAGTTTTTCTAAAAGTGGTGAGGTATCTGTATAATAAAAAATCGCCAATAATTTGATTTTTTTTTTAAAATCGAACTTTAGCAAGTTTAGCGACTCAAAAGTCCTCTTTAAATGGTTTTAATATTGACAAGCTCTATTTTTATTTGAAAAAAATTTAACTAGTTTACAGTGAAACAATTGTCAATTACTTAAATTAAATAAATAGTCAATTACTGCAATTAAATCATTGTTTGCAAAATTAATGTATAATTCTTATGTAAATCAATAGAGTCAACTAACCATCTACATTTTTTAAGTTGAGTGAGTTATTGATTTTTTCAATGAAATTTTTTTTCATTTTTAATTAATTATATGTTTTCAGTATTTATACGGTTTCGGCAATGACTTTATGAGCGAGGATCCTAGGACTCCTGGATCACTTCCAAGGGGCCAGAACAATCCTCAGCGTTGTCCGTACGGTTTATATGCAGAACAACTCTCAGGAACTGCCTTCACTGGTATTCATCCTATATATTTTAATTTATTTTAAAAATATTATTATTATTTTGTAATGATCTTATTTATTTTTACAGCTCCAAGAGGAGAGAACCAAAAATCATGGTTATACAGAATCAGGCCATCGGTTATTCATGGCATTTTTAAAAAAGTAGATCAGAATAGAATTACTATTAATTGGAATGAAAGGCCGCCAAATCCAAATCAGGTAAGTCATTTTTTAAGAATAAAGATATTTATAGAAAGAATAATAGTCACTGTTACAGACCCCTTTTTATCGAATTGTTAACATCCGTCTGGAACTTTGTAGTTATTTCCATCTCATAGTAGCCTACAACTATTTTATTTATGAAAACTCTTGAAATAGGGGTGTTTTAAATCTGGAGGGGGCCGAACTTTGTCTATTTAATTAGGTACTAAAAACTCGTAAATACTCATTTGCGTTCTACTTGGATCGTAAGGTAATTTGATCACAAAATCGAGAAAATAGGTGGCATACAAAAATATTGGGCCGTTTGTCCTATATAACTTCGTTATTTTGAAAATTTGGAGGTGTAAGTCACGCCAAATGGCTCAATATTTATGAAGGCCACCTTTTTTCTCAATTTTGTGATTAAATTATCTTACGATCCAAGTAGAAAGAAAATGAGTATTTACGAGTTTTTAGTATCTAATTAAATTGACAAAGTTTGTCCCCCTCCAGATTGAAAACACCCCAATTCCAAGAGTTTTCGTAAATAAAATAGTTGTAGGTTACGATGATATGAAACTATTTACGAAATTTCAGGCGGATGTTAATAGTTCGATAAAAAGGGGTCTGTACCACGGACTATAAACTTGGTACTACTAACCTTGACGTTTGTGAACATTAAGATTGTAAAAGTGTAAATAAAATGTAAATTGATTAAAAATTACATTTCATCATTCATAATGCTATCAGGAAACATAATTTATAATACTTTTTTTGTAGTTTATAGTGTTTAGTATAGTATAACATTATTTTTATTTTCATTATTTCATTAACTTTATTTCAGATTCGATGGAGACCTTTCCCACTACCTTCGACGAATGTTGACTTCGTCGAAGGGATCTACACAGTGTGCGGTGCCGGCGATCCTCGACTCAGGGTAGGACTTGCAATACACATATATCTCGCAAATACATCGATGAAGAATAAGGCCTTCTATAATTCTGATGGAGACTTTCTCATTGGTGAGCAAACATTTTTACTTATTTATAAATTTTATCAATCAACGCACCACTCCTCCCTTCCCCACCCATGGTTTCATCTGCATTAAATTTTGGTTGTACCTGTCTCTTTCTCATACAAATGATAAGTGCATGATGAAATTTATGTAGATAAACAACTTATCACTCCAAAAACTGACAACAGAATTGTCCAGTTTGATGACTATATTTGCAAAGTTGTTTAAATCTATCCTTCTAATATACATTCATAAATTTAAGAGCAAATTAAAACAAAAAACTAAGTTGTGTGCTTTAGACCACATGATAGAAGTGAGAACATCAACAAGGCGAGATTAATAACATGAAATATAAATTATAAATAATAGTTCATTATAAAGAGGATGAAGTGCTCAACATTTCCCTTGCTTACAGTATGCAGGTCCGATTTTTAGTTTCTGAGATATTTTAATCCAAATTTTCCATAAAACACCTCCATTTGGTTTTCGACTCAATTTTTTCTCTTTTACATCTCTAGCACAGTGTCACGTTATGATACAATTTTTACTAATAGATCATTACAAAGAGGATGAAATGATGAACATTTTCCTCCCTAACAATATGCAGGTCTGATTTTTAGTTCAAATCAAACCCAATTATGCAAAAAAATTTCAATTAGTCGACTCCAACTGATTTTACCCAAGTGTTACACATCAGAAATCTGACGGCTCAATCTAATTCACATTCCACAAAAAATTGCATAACATGCCTGATGAAGTTTTCACTTCAAAAATCACACGTTTTAATCGAGTAATATTTAGAAAATTTATGTTTCAATTTAATTATATGGTTATTTAGTTTCAATATCACCACTAATGATAGAGCTATCTATACAACCCTAATGAAACTATGACACCTGGGTGTATAATAGTTGAGAGATTCAAATATAGATGCCGCTACATCTTCATTTACATATTCTGACTGAATAAATGCATGTTATTGTATGAATAACAAACATTTTGGGGTTCGTTGATTACAATGGAAGAGTAAACTACTGCATAAAATTAGTTACTTCTTATTTCCCCCCTCTTCAATTCTTAATCTTTAAAAATTTTCCTAGTGCTTTGTGGGGAACTTATAAAGCATATTTCTTAGGACCTTATATTTTCAATATCTGTTTTAAAAATTCAGATTTCTTATTCTAGATGAAGCCATTGTATTTTTTATGTAATAATTTATAATCTTGAGTATTGAGTATTTATTTTTCATAAATTATACGGACCTGTAGTCCACAAAAACTTTTCTACTTTAAGCACACCAGTGTCGCTATCTTTTTCCCTTTCTGATTCTCTAACTCAGTGTTACGTTCAAAATATAATTTTGAATTATAGCTCATACAAAGAGGATGGAATGTTGAAAATGTCCCTTGTTTATATTATGCAGGTTAAAATTGAGTCTGTAAGGGGGTCAATAATTTGTCATAACTCTATCTAGTGCAACAGAAAATTGAATAGAAACATATAATTTCTTATTTTCGTAAATAAATTTTAGAATATAAATTCAACTTCTGTGAATCAATTTCTGAATTCTGTATGGTATTTACATTTTTGTCCAAATGTTCAAAACAATCATTATTTGTTTTTTCACCTTTTTCTCTCTAATACGAAGTCATTTTAACATACAATTTTGAATAATAGCTTATTAAAAAGAGGGAGAAATGCTGAAAATTTGCCTCGCTTACAGAATGCAGGTCCGATTTCTAGTTTCTGAGATATTTTAATCCATATGTTCAACCAAACTCGTTATCATTTGGTTTTTGTCACTATCTATTTACCTTTTTGCCTCTTTAACACAGTGTCGCATTAAGGTACAATTTTGAGTAATAGTTCTACACAAAGAAAATAAGATTGTGAACATATCCCTCACTTAGAGTATGCAGCTCCGACTTTTAGTTTCTGAGATATTTTAATCCATACGTAAAAATCCATAAAAAAACTCACTGGAGTGCTTAAAGTATAAAAAGATTCCACAATTTTATTAGTTTATTGACCATTCTGTTTTAATTCTTTTTCAGTTCCACAGCTCGGAACCCTTGACATTAAAACCGAGTTTGGGAGATTGATAGTGGAACCAAATGAAATATGTGTCATACCAGTATGTATATACTATATTATCAATTGAATTTTAATGATTTATATAAAGTAAAACTAATTTAAGGAATTTTAAATTTAATTTAATTTATTATAGCAAGGAATAAAATTTAGTGTTGATTTGAATGGAGCAAGCCGAGGCTATATCTTAGAGGTATTTGGATCGCATTTCTCTCTTCCCGAACTTGGACCTATTGGTAAGAAATTAATTTATAATGCTATAATCTGGTTATAATCAATTCTTGTTTATTATTGTTGTTAACTCAAACTTTGAAGAAAAAAAAAAACAATAAATTATTAAAGCAAACAGTCATTATGTAAACTAAGAGTTTTCTTACACCATATTTTCTCTTTAAATGTTTCACTTAAATTTTCTGTTTCAAAGTTTATGGCTCCTTCAAGAACTTACTTCTTGTAAATTGAATTTGTTTTTAACTGTACTTTTTTTTAGATCAGTAGCAGGAGGATAAGGTGAAAGTAATTGATAACTTTTTTGTCAAATGAGAACTTCATTTTCATGAGCTTATTTAAAATTTAAAATTTGTAAAATACATATAGTATCAAATATTGAATGTTTAATGTTAAAATTTCAGGAGCTAATGGACTTGCATACGCAAAACATTTCGAATACCCCACCGCTCGATATGAAGAGATAGAAGAAAAATATATGATCTTCACCAAATACCAGGGAAGTTTGTTTGCCGCTCTGCAGTCCCACAGCCCTTTCGACGTTGTCGCGTGGCAGGGCAACTACGCTCCTTACAAATATAACCTCGAAAGGTTCATGACAATCAACACTGTCTCTTATGATCACTGTGTAAGTTTAATTTTCTAATATATATTACAATAATATATTATTCAGGTGGTTTCGATTAACAACAACTAAATTTAACAATTTTGTTGATTTTTGTCACTGAGTTACAATTTAAATTATTATTCTTAAACTATTGGGTTCGCAATTAAGTTCTTTCAGTTTTTCAGGGTGAAATAAAACTCAATGTATTATAGACATAAAATTGATTTTAATCTACAATATATTGACTATTATTTAATATAACTTTACCCCATCTTTCCACTAACTGCATAATGCCATGTTCATAGAATGTCTGGAGTTTATTTTTAAAAAACTGATCCAAGTGGTATGTCATCTTCCTTTTGGAATTTCTTTCTATTTGTGGAGTTCTGCAGAGACCGGAATAAGTGGTAGTCACTTGGAGCTAGGTCTGGTGAATAGGGAGGGTGGGGCCAAAGGTCCCTTCCAAGGCTCAATAATTTATTGTGAGTGACCAATGAGGTGTGCTGCCTTGGGTTGTCTTGGTGGAACACAATAGCCTTCCGATCATTCATAACTCTTCAGGATGTTCTCCAAATTCGATGTTACTATATCCGTTGGAATGCTGAATTATTGCTCTTCAAAGCCGAATAATAAATAGTTTTTTGATTTAATGTCTACATGAGGAATAAATAAACAAAAACCCTTTACAGGTTTTTATTTTTTATCTCCATTTGTAGTTTGTTTACGACTGATGTCCTGTTGATTTCATTTTGTGTAGTTTATCTGGCCCTAAATTCCTGATAAATTTCTTGTAGATAGCTAGTCATATTGAAATTATTACATTTTTTGTGACTTTCGAAAAAAAATCATGAGAGGGACCCAAACATTAAGCCTGAAAACATAGCCGAGCTTGTGCAAATGGTTTTCTACTCTTGTGTGCAGCACATTTAGGGGAATAGCAATCTCCTCGCACTGATTGGGTGGGATTTAGAAACAAGATCAAAAATGCCATTGAGCATCATTGATGACAAAATTTCCTGAATGAATTCAGCAAACCAATTTTGACAGGTGCATTCGATGACATTTCATCATTCCATGAACACTGCAAATTTTTCTATGAGCTTCTGCAGCACGCTTAACTTTTTTAATATACAACAAAATATGGCGATAATGAATGATATTTTCTTCCATATTCACAGTGCAATAGCAAACACAAGGCTTAGCTAGTTTCAACAAGAGTTAACAGATATAGTTGTTGACATATTACAAACAGGATAAACAATCCACCTTAGCAATAACATCTGATAAGATGTGTATCATAGTGACATAAAAATAAACAGAAAAACCAAAAGGATTTATTTGCCAACCCAATACTATTCTTACCAGAGGTCCCTGTATATACAAATAAAATATAACTGATACTTAAGAAATCAATTTAACCTTCTCGCTGATAACAGCCACTTTAATAAATAATTCACTTTCAATTGAAGCTTGGAAAGATTTTTGTAGCATGTAGAAGGTTTTAGGTCCTGCGAGCCAATTCTTTTGATTCTCATTGGTCAAAAGTCGGATGCTTACCATCTAGAATCTTCTTCTTATTTATTTATTAATACAAGTGACCATCAAGATTTGGTATCAAATCCTTTTTTGTAAATATACACTTTTAAAAAAATGTGTGTATACAGGATGTCTCAGTTCTTACTGGCCAAACTCTGGGGGGATTATTCTAGACAAAATTTCCAACAAAAAGGTTAATTTGATGCATGAGCCTATTCCAAATGGAAAAGGAGTTAAAACCAATTTCTTTTGTTAAGGTGGTCTATTACGACTGCTGTACTGCAGCAGTTATAATACCCATACCCGAGCAGCATTTCACTGTAATCCCGATTCATGAAATATTCGGCATACATTATGGGCTTTGCGTTATTAGAACTCCTGAAAGCTCGTTTTATCATTGACCTCAGTGAATTTAATTATCTTGAACAGTTTTTGAGCAATTCGTTTTTATTCAATAAAAACGTGACCACTTTAAGAAACACAAAAAATTAGTCTTAACTCCTTTTCCGTTCGGAATTGGCTCATGCATCAAATGAACTTTTTTGTTGAGAATTTTGTCTAGAACCACCCCCCAGAGTTGACCATTAAGAACTGAGACACCCTGTATGTACAAATAAAAGGTTTCTTGTTTTTTTCTTATTCCATTTCATTAAATTCTACATTGTGTTTTTATAAAAAACATTTTAATCCTCTTAATTTTCTCAGCATTTAAGTTTTTTAGAAATGTTATGTCTTTCTCTTGTGTTAATTAGAATTTTCTTTCTTTGCTATATTTTCTTAAATATAAACAGCATTTGCCGTGAGTCTTCTGGCCTCTTACAAACTTTGCAATTTCTGCCCTTTTCAGTTTTCATAATGTTGAGAAATTTCTTTGTTCGCCCTTGATAAATCTGCAGTCTTATTATTTGTAGTCTCTTTTGTCATTATAGTCGCTGATTCAGTGGGTCAAACTTGTCAAACCATGGGACAAGAATTATAGTTGGCTATGCTTGATAATGGTCTCTCTCTTTTTATTTGCGTCTCCAGTCGTACCTATCTTGCCATTCCTTTATTGCTTCTTTCTTTAGCAATCTTTAGAGATCCGTCATGGGTACCTTGGTGTTCTCTTTTACAGCTTGTCCCTGCAGATTTGTCAGCAGCCTCATTTCTGGACAATTATATTTGTCTCGTTATTTTTATAACTTTCAATAAGTATAAAATAATTTTAATATTAATAATAATATTAAATTAAAAAAATTATTGTTATTATTACTTAACAAACATCTGTAATAATCTCTACCATATATCATTGATTTATTACAAATAGTCATTTAATAACATTTCAGATAATTATATCATAAATAACTTAGATGAATTTTCCCATTGTGAAGTAAAAAAATTGTTGTTTTAGTATCGATAAATAAAATCGAAATTAACAAAAACGTTCTTAAAAGTACAGCTCCATAAAAAAATGTAATTCGTGACTTCTTGCAATAAGCCGGACAATATTTGTTATTTTTAAATTAATAGAGTTTTTAAGTTTTTTTATTTGGTATTCTCCAACATTAAAAAGTTTTTTATGGAAAAAATAATAACTTTTAACTATTAATTGACGAAGAAGGTTAAAATTATTGCATTTAATTTATTTTTTGTTTTACAAGATTTCTTTTTTATTTGTTTTTTTTCAGGATCCTTCAATATTCACTGTTCTCACCTGTCAATCCCAAAAACCTGGAACAGCATTGGCCGATTTTGTTATATTTCCTCCTCGGTGGGCTGTCGCAGAACATACATTCAGGCCACCATACTACCATAGTAAGTTACAATTTCTTCTATATTTGGATATAAATATAAAATAAAGATTACGTGGTTGAGGAATCTCGTAACTTCAGGCATGACATTAATAGTATTAACTGATGGGCTTTGGAAAATAAGTTGATCTTAAATCAAGCAGAAACTAAATCAATTCTCATTGGTTCTAGTTCCTTCCTCAAGATTATTCCCTGTTATCACTTACTATATTTATAGTCCGTATAGTATTCAATCCCTCCCTATAAATCTTGCCTATTTAATCACTTCCTATCCGTTCAGTCCCCATAAAATTGTAAGTAGATGTTGTAAATATGTATATAAATTCTAAGGTTTTTAAAAATATTTTTATGCTTTTTTTTTTAATTCAGAAGTTATAAGACACTTATAATTTTTTATTTATTATGTTTATTCGTTTTAATTTTTTGTGATAATTCTCCGAAGCCCACATTTCTGTATCTGCATATTATTTTAAAGGGACTTGTCCCAGAATAAATAAATTATTATTATTTTGAATTTCGTATTTCCTCAGACATTGCTGGGAATATTCATCTACCCAGGCCTAGGTCAAGGATTAGACTCAAATTTTAGACTATGTTTAAAAATTTTCTGACGATGTTCGCCGTACCTAGGATAATTGCTTTCTGCCCTTCTTCCAGTACTTTTTCTGGCAGTTTCAACTTCTCAATAAAGCGGATGGTATCTTCTGGGGTGAGTATATGCTGGAGATTAATACTGGAAATACTTGTATATAATCCAGTCTATAAAGTTGCCAAAGTTCCTGCCATAAGTCTTGGTACTTTCTTATCTTTTCAGATATCATTTTTCCGATATTATCATTGGTAGAGACCACAATATCAATGACATAACTACTTTTTGTGTTTCGGTCAATTAAGGCTATATCAGGTTTGTTATTTGTTATTGTGTGATCAGTAATTATAGAACGATCCCGATATATTGTTTTACTTTTCCCAGACAGTACCTCTTGTGGCTTGTACCAATAGTAAGGAACCCGATCAGTAATCATGTTATATAATAAAGCTTTGTGCACAATCTTGGCCAGGTTATCGTGCCTCATCAGGCATTCCTTACCTGCCAACGCTTCACATCCTGATGATATATCCTGGATTGATTCAGTTAACAGTTTTACTTAGGCAACATTGATCACTTATATCTTCTCCACATATATATTAGCTATAAGCATTGGTGGAAACAACCTGATCCTGAATTACCAAAATAAATTCTTCTATTTCAGAAAATAAATATCCTTTTTTTAGCCAATTTTTAGAAACATTATTGTTAATTCACAATTGAGAAATAGAATTGTGAAAGCGACCATGTAGTGCTTTATTTTTCCATCCTTCGATCAGAGTCTCTTCTGTAGGGACATCTTTGTGCTCTATTGAAATCAAGTTTAAGGCTGTGTAGCCATCATCCAATGACCTTATTGCTGACTGCATAGAAGAGTTACAGTGTATAAAGGAACATCTTAAATTATTTTCTTGTTCTCTGCAGCTTATTAATAAACAGACAAGCCCCCTTCCTCCTTGTTATTATTATTATTATATTTCAACAACATTCTAATTAAATTCCAAAATTTTATAAAAAAAATCTTAGAGTTATCTCAGATCAATAACTAAACTGATATAACCATATTTCATTTATCACTCAAAAATCGCATCCTTAAACTAGAAGTACTCTTCATCTTCTATTTTCTTCCCTTATTTTCTCTTAGAATTATCTAGGGAGCATGAGATGCGACAGAAAAGATTAATGAATTGTTTCCTAAGATTTATTTTTGGTATTTTCAGATGCTCTCACCGATATTCTGAGCGAGGAAGGTTATGGCCTTATTTCCAAAGTTAACACGCTCTTATTAATAATAATAATATTAAAGTTTATTTATGCAGGGACGAGTCCCTTTAGAATAATACCAAATGACAGAAATGTGGGCTAAGGAGCATCAGAGATAAACAGTAATACATACACAATAATCCTTAGTTCTTTCCTTTTCCATTCCTTGAGTACAAACAATCCTGTATTCTTGACCTCTTAATCCTGCGTTCTTCTATCCACTCCTTAAATATAAGGTCTCAAATTTCTGATTTGTGTAATTCCTCTCACAAAACAGCTTCTTTTTAAAAATTCATATTGAAGGTACCTTCTTTTGGAATTCCTGATTAATTCCATTTATAAGTCTCCCTCCCTAACCTCATTAAAACACTGTTTATTTCTCCGTCTCCTCAACTATCAATCTTCTGTGTGCATGTTAAGAATACATACAGTTCTATGTAGGTTGGTAAAAATATCTTATTAATTTTAACTTATCTTTTTTATTTTAATTCATTTTTTATTTGTTAATTTATCTAGAAATAATTTGAATTAAGTTGTGATCAATGCTGCCAGACAAATGCTTTTTGAAACATGTAATTTTGTTATTCTTGAAGAGACTAAATGTCTCAGTATAAAGAAATTTTTCATTCATTCATAAAATTAAAGAATCTTATTTATTTATTTTTTTTAAATCAGGAAACTGTATGTCGGAATTCATGGGTTTGATACAAGGCGGTTATGAAGCTAAAGAAGATGGTTTCTTACCCGGAGGAGCGTCGCTCCATTCTATCATGACCCCTCACGGCCCTGATTCAGTTTGCTTTGACAGTGCCTCTTCAGCAGATTTAAAACCTACCAAAATTGCTATCGGTGATATGGTAAGTATATAAAAATTCTTATTGTTTCGATGTGAAATATAAATTTTTTGACAGTATTACCATATTGTATTATAATATCATATATTATGTTACTGTTCCAAAAGTATCATGATCTGAATGATGCGTGTTCAAAGATCACATCGCAGATACATAGAATTCTGAAAACAGCCGAATGTGTTAACATAATACCATCTTGAAGTAACACTGATATTTTTGTATAATTAGGTTACCTAATATATGATTGTTTCATTTTAAGAAATAACTAAGAATTACATATTTTCTTAATAACCTATAACTTTTTGGTATAGAAATTTTTTACTTTTCCAAATTTGATAATGAATACATTACTTAACGCTATTATTTATACTTAATATTTTTATTTTTAATAATTATTAATTTAATACTAAAGGGCCCCTTATACGATCAATATTACTGAAGTATTAAAATTGAAGGCAATATATTGAAGTCCCCCTCACACCTATCAATTGTATTTAGTCAATATTATGTCAGTTGCGACCTTGCTTCTCCAATGAAGTAGTTATCTTCCTTCATTTATCTGAACATGAATAGTAGTGAATTTCATATTATATTTTCATTTTTATATATGAAGGTTATCCATATTCCACCAATATTTTATTTATTTTTTATTTTATCCTGACGTTTCGGCCAACACTAGGACCATTTTCAAGTCTTAATTGATTCCTCTAATTATTAGTTGGATACCAGGCTTAGTATCAAACTATATGTAGTGGATCACAGTGAAATTGATGATACATCCCATAGAAGAATAAAATAAGATACTTGAATGGTACTAAATGGTTTACTTACAGTAAACAAATAAAACCAGAAACTCTTCAATGGATTGATTTATGTTCTCCATTCAAATATGTACAAACACAATAAAATTGAAATATTCAAATGTGATTATTTTAAAAAAACTGGACAATTTTACCTCACAGTCAAAATGATACACCTCACTTCTTATTAACTTTTATATAATATTCAATACCTTGAAGGCAGGCCATTATTTTCTACCTCTTCATTCAGTCTTTTTGTGATAAGTCGATCAATGTTTTGGTGAATTTTAGGCTTAGCCTGTCCCATTCTTCGAGGAGATATTTTTGAAGTCTTCTTTGCTAAAAAATTTGTGTTTTCTAATTTCTACTTCCAATTTTGCCCACAGATGTTCTATTACATTAAGATCTGTAGTGGGGTTTTTATAATGTTAAGGCAATTATAAAGTAGCTATTCCTTATCTAACAAGGCGGAGTGTTTGGAATAATTATCCTGATAAATACAAAATTTGTTTTTTATCTCCAGCTTTTCCACTATTACTTTCAAATTTCTTCTCAAAATGTCTATGTAAACGAAGCTGGGAGCAGGTTGGTTTTCTTTTTTGTTTCTTATTTCAGCCTTCACGTTCTTTTTTTCCTCCTTCCTTTCATTTCTTTTCTCTGCTTTAACTCTTTATTATATTTTACGTTGTCTGTACATTTTGATAGACTTTACAATATCTCAATTTTCTATCTAACTATTCTATTTGCAATATCTTAATTTTACTATTTATTTTCATTTCTTATATAACTTCATATTCCTTTTTCTGTTACATTTTATTCTAAGATTACCATTTTAATACTTATGCCACCTTTTGATTATGTTTACTTCATCATTCCACACTTTGTAACGGTTATTATTATTTATCTCTTAGTTCTTACTATTGTCATTATTCTACCCACTTAATTTTACTTTAATTTTTTTTTTTTTTTTTTTTTTACCTTTTTCATGTTTCTCATACCTTGTTATCTGGTTCTTTTCTTAGCCCTGATGAAGGCCTGAACTTCAGGTCGAAACGTTGGCAAATGTCAAAATAAATATTATCATTTATTTTTCTCTTCTTATTTCTGACTGATCACCCCAACCATTCTTCTCTTCATTATTCATGACAGTCAACCATTTACCCACAATTATGTCTATGTAAACATTTTTATTCACTATACCATCTGTAAAGGGAAGATTTCTTAAACTTTAAGCCACTATACACTCGCACACCATAATACTGCCACCTCTAGGTTTCCTCCAAACATAGGAAAATCCACAAAAAACATATAACTAGGATATTTAATTAAATAAATAAATAATTATTTTCAATGTAATACAAATTGAACTATTTATTTATTAAATAATTGCTATAAATATGCTGGTGTATCATTTTGAATGTGAGCCCCTGCCTAATAATATAGATGTATTAGCAACTAACATTTTCACCTTAGAAGATAAAATTAACTTCCAGAATATATAAATTGAGGATTACATTATTCTTTAATTTTCAGGCCTTCATGTTCGAAAGTTGTATGGGCCTCTCTTTGACTGAATGGGGTGAGGTCAGCTGTAGTGCAATCGACGAGGATTACAATAAGTGCTGGCAGGATTTGAAGAAGAATTTTGATATGATGAAATTATAGTCATTTTATATTTTTATACGTTTCTTTAATAAAAAATCTGGTGCGATACATGACACGACTTTTACTTATCAGCCTATTTTCACTTTAAATTATTGTTTTAAAAAGTTAATAAATATTTAGATCATTTATTACTTTAATTATAAATTAAAATAATTAATATAAATGAAGACAATTCTGTGGAAAAATATAGTTGATTTTATGAAACTGAAGTTTTATCAAACTTTCTTCTTGAAGTATATAGTTGGAAGTTATATAGCTTTGAGTTAGTATCTGTTCTGTAATGTTTTAAATAATTGATTATTTTGTAATGTATTTTTTATTAGAAATTACACTATTTAGTTTAAATATTTATCACAAGTTTCTCAAAAGTTTTCATAGTGAGTGAAATGAAGTTTTGAAGGCATCTAGAGGTATCGACAGTGAACTATGTTTATAAGTATTATGGATACGTAATGGTTAGGTATTTTTAAATACATGGTAAACAGTAATATAAGGAAATAAATAAAAGTAACAGGTTCTTTTTAGTTTACCCAATTCTTTCTTTGTAATTAAACACTTAGATGCTCATGGCTGTATACTGTTAACTATAGGTTTATATTATTTGAATGTATATCTGACTCAATTTATGACAGTATGCGTAAATTGTTTTCAAATATTGCAAGAAAATTAATTTTTTATCTATTAAACTATTCATGTTCATAAGGAACAATTCATTCTTAGTTTCCTCATTCCAAGTATTCCTTTTGAGTTTAATGCTGACTTACAATTAAAATCTTTTGATAGTTAAAATTGTAATATTTTAAAAATTATCCTCCGCTAGAAGTTAATGTAATAGAATATTTTGATTGTGATGTATATCATGAAATAAATATTTAGGATTCAATCATTATTATTTTATTACAAAAGCCAAACTTCTGGGTCTTCTTCAATTCTGAATTTAAACCAGATATACAAAAGATATAGATATGTGTATAGTATAAAGACAGAAGTAAATAAAAAGAAAAACTTAATAAAGTAAGAATCAAGATAAAGTAAGAGACAGGTATATAAATAATAATAGAAATATGTACATATTGTTTTATTTTGTTTTCTGGGTATTATCTTGTATTATTTTTATTGTATTGCTTTTTGCATCAAAGAAAAGGAAGAGAAAAAAAAAACAGTCTGAAGTTCATATTTTATTTTTTTAATAGCATATTTGGGTTGTAATGTATAAAACTTATACAAAGTTTATTTAGTATATAGTATAAATTAAAAACAGCACTTAAATCAAATAAAAATAACCACTTCTATTATATATTTACTACATAAAGAATACAATAATTACCATACATAATTTAAATTTTTATTCAATTAATTATACATTGGTTGATCTTTCAAAAAATTACTTGTTTATCATTTACAATATTTCTGTTTATAATAAAATGTTTCTTGATCATCCAATATACGTAATCCATCTGAGAGATCTAGAATACTAAGAAAGTTGATTTGTCCAACTATGTTGAATATTCTAATTAAAATTTTCTAATGACTAGAAAAAAGTTCTTAATAATAAAGAAAACTATGGATAACTAACTTTCTGGTAGTAATTGGAACTGGACTATGCAAAATTGAAATAAAAATGGCAAAAATCATACAACGATTTATTGAATCAAAATTCAATTTATTCATGATTACTTTATATGTGTTTGTTACCAATCTCATAAATATTACATGAAGTGTAAACTTAATGCAAATAAGCATTAGAAATTATGTAAAAACAGGAGTAAACTTGCTTAAATATCTCAGATCATTGTATGTGCTGATATTACATCTCAGTGTGCTTATATAAAGGTTTTTTATCAACAATTTTTTTTTTGGAATACACTTTGGATTATGGTTGTATTACTGTTACATAATAAGACTTATTTCATGTAAATAATAAGAATTAAGTTAAATATATTGGTAATAGATTCTTTAAGAGAAATTTTCAACATTAATTTGAACCACAGCTTTAGTTCTGAAGGTGGATCTTTGCAAATGGTGAAGGTGCAACAGCAAATTTAGTCGTTAATCACATTTTTTATATACAGTCAATTAGTTAATTATTCATGAAAAACTTAAAGAATTCTGACAGCTTATTTTGTACCAGTAATAGACATTCGGGCTTTGGGGATAAATAGGATTTTATATAATTAAAAAACTCATTATAATATATAGTATTTAATTTTACCACATCACCGGCCAACTCCTCAAATAAATAATAATAGATGAATTGACAATCTTCAGTTATAATTACATTTATTATTATATACAAAATAATATTTAAATTAAAATGTTTTTTTAACCTGATTTAAAATAAGCCTAACTGAACTTGTTATAATAGAAAATGAATGAGTTAATGTTTACACATACTGGTATTTATTTTGATAATAGGATTATTCATAAGGATATTGTTTCTATCTTATCATTTCATTCTTCTCAAATCAAAACAAGTCGAGTCATTACCACCTCTTTTCAGAACGCTTTTTTTCAGTATTGTAACTTTATAATTTTCAAAATAGAGATTGACACAAATGAGGAACAGTTTATTCATTTTTATTTTTTTCTTACACCTCTATACTCTTTCGAATTATGCCAGGGAGTCAAAAGAGTGACAAACGTTTTTAAATAAGTTTGATTTTAAAAGTAGCAAACTTTTGAAGAAAAAGTTTGTGCAATAAAAGTTATTCTTATACCTATATGATAAAAATTTTCTTCAAAAAGTTCAATGTTCACCCCAAATTTTTTAACAACTAAAATAAAAGTGTGAGTTTAACAACTTTTTTTGCTCTTGGCCGAGAATATAACAGTTGCTATAATAGGAAAGTATAGCAAAGTATAGGAAACTATATAGGCATTTCTGAAATGCCAATATTTTTTTTTGTATAGTTCTATAAAATATATAAAAAACATATTTCTGCAATTACTTACTTTTTGCCTAAAAACCTTTTATGAATAAGCTTCAGAATAACTGTTTGTACGGAAGTTTTATTAAAATAGTCAATTGGATAAAAGTTTTAAAATAACTTTATCAAAAATTTATCATAATGAAAACGTTAAAGTTAAATAAAAACTTCATATAAGTGAAAAAAAGGTATAAGTTTAACTTAAACTTTTTTAAAATAAAAGTTAACTAATATTTTCAATCCCTGTTTATATGTATTTATTTATTACAAGTATTTATTTACAAAGAATTTATAATTTTTAAAAACTTTGTAATATAACAATTTAATTATAATGAAACAATAACTAATATATATAAATTGTTTAGGTATAGCTAATCTATTCACCTTCTTGAAGAGAATGCTTAGAAATGATAAAACTACCATGTTGATTGGAGATGTCTTTGGAAAGAAATGGCATAATTACGAATGAGGCCATTGACAAACAAATCACAAATGAAACAAGATATCCTGCCATGGAAATTTACTTCAGTTGAATCCACATCAGAAAAATTAATATTTTCAAGACTCAAAATTGAGGGCATGCAGTCTTCACCCATGTATACTTAATCAGAGGCCTGGAACCACCACTCTGAGAAACAAGCAACTCTCCATTGACACTAGAATGAGACTGTGTACTTTCCAATATGGCTAAAGAACTTGAAGATAATGAAGGCAGGATCCAAAGAATAATTCATATAATTAGTGCCATTAAAATATTGTCATTACATTTAATTCTTGTGTTCATTATTCTAATTATTCTTGTCATTTAATTTTTGTAATCATTGTAAACAATTGATGTTATTTATTTTTTGTATTTTAGAGATGGATATGTGTTTGTTTGTGTATATATATGTGGATATATAGCCTGTTGAAATTGTAAAGATAAAGAATGATCAGTATGTGTAGTTAAAATATGTTTTTATTGAGTTTGTCTACAATAATCAATCATTAGATCATTATAATGTAGTCATTAGATCATTATAATGTAATCATTAGATAATTATAATGTAATCATTAGATCATTATTGTAATCATTTAATTATTGACATTCCAATTATTTGTGCTATTTAATACTTGTAATTATTATAAAATAAATAAAGAATATTTTAATAGATATTGTATCGATTTGAATCAACATTGTCAGGTGACAAGTATGTATACTTAACAAAAAGTAATAAGAGAATAAGTGAAGCAATCATTTTTCAGGAAAACATTTAAAGGTTTGATACAAGAGTTGAAAAGAAAAGGGCTCATCTACCCCAAAACTTAAAATTATCAAATCTTATATGTACTTCTACTCTTAATACTTTTATTGAAAGATGTATTTTGTGTGTATTATTCATATTTCATTAGATTCTTCAAGATTATTTAATATTTTCAAGAAGAATTGAAATTATTTTATCATAATATAAGATGGTACATTTGTAATGAAGATCATGATAGAAAGAAAGAAGATAGAAATGGCAAATTTATTAATTCTGTGTAGATTTTTTAAATTCTTTTATTATAACAAATATTGGAACCATTTTCTATATATGTTTGATCTTATACTCAATCTTGAGTGCTTCTATACAGAAATTACAAGATGTATGTATTTGTTGGATGTATATTGTTTCAAATAAATGTATTATTCTATTTTTCTTCTTTAAATCCTGAAGAATTCCCTTAGTCAAATCCCTCTATTCCTTTCCCTTTTTAATTTTACTCAGTTAACAACAATACAATCTTTAATTAGTTATTTAAATAAAATAAATTAAGCATACTGACTGAGTATGCTATATTTTCTAAATGAAAATATATCATAAATGTTATGTAAAAAGAGTGAATTCATCAGATTGTAGTTTCATAACAATTTGTGAATAGGAAATTATAACTTCAGATTCTCTCATATAAGAATGTCGAAAACATCAGTTTCCTTGAAAATTGTTTTTCTTTTAAAAGTAGTGTATTGCTTGGAATCACGTTTTTTACAGAACAAGATATAAGATGATGTGAAATCGAAATGAATATATTATATAAAAAATATTAGTTAAT